GTCGTCCCCCTCGGGCGGATTTCTTTAGCGTGGGCGTGGGCGCCCGGCTCGGGGCCAATCAGACCGAGACGCCTGAAATGCACTAGTTCTAGATGTCCTCCCCGGAGGCGCGCGTGCGACGCGAACACATAACGTAAGCATCTTGTAGTAGATCGTTTCCCGAGCGGTGCGGCCCAGCCAGCGCCCTCCACGACGCATATACTAGAGGATTTCTCGGTGCGCGCGTCGCCCCTGCGGGGGGGGGGCGGGGGCGGCGCACACATATCATAAGTATGTTGGGGTGACGTCGGTGGAAGGAGACAAGGGGAGACACCAGAAGGCAGCGGCCGACCCCAGATCCGGCTCTGCGCGTACTCGGCCGCTTTCGAGGCGCATGTACGACCCCATACCTGGCCATCGCTCGGACGTCCATTCCCTGTGCTTGTTTCGGCTTCGTGCGTGGTGTGCTCGCCAAATGATCGAGGATGCTCCTCGACCTCCTCGCGGCCGTGGCGCGCGGCCGACCTTCGCAAACACGGCACGGGGCGGGGCCCCCAGCAGCAGGCGCCCGCGCAGTCTGGGCCTGGCGACCGCGGTAACAGAACGTGCGAGGCGGGGCGGTGGGCAAAACGTTTCGCCTCCTCCTCCTCCTCCTCCTCCTTGTCGACTTCCCCCTCATCCTCCGCCTCATCTTCCTCCGCCTCCTCCTTTTCCTCCTCCTCCTCCTCCTCCTCCTTCGCCTCCGCCTCCGCCTCCTTCTCCTCCTCCTCCTCCTTCTCCTCCTCCTCCTCCTCCTCCTCCGCCTCCGCCTCCTCGTCCTCCTCCTCCTCCTCCTCCTCCTCCGCCTCCGCATCGTTCTCATCCTCCTCCTCCTTGTCGACGTCCCCCTCATCTTCCGCCTCGTCTTCCTCCGCCTGCTCCTTTTCCTCTGCCCCCCCCTCCTCCTTCGCCTCCGCCTCCGCCTCCTCCTCTCTCCTCTTCCTCCTCCTTCTCCTTCTCCTCCTCCTCCTCCTCCTCCGCCTCCGCCTCCTCCTTCTCCTCCGCCTCCGCATCGTTCTCCTCCTCGTCCTCCTCCTCCTCCTCCTCCTCCTCCTCCTCCTCCTCCTCCTCCCCCTCCTCCTCCTCGTCCTCCTCCTGGAGGGAGGGAGAGGGTAGCGAGGCGGGCAGGGCAGAGGGCGCTGCTCTCCGAGAGGGCCGCGACGCCAAGGCAGCTCCGCCTCGCTACCCTCTCCCTCCGCCCAGGGGGCCGCGCAGACGCTCCCTGCATGGAGGAGGAGGAGGAGGAGGAGGAGGAGGAGGAGGAGGAGGAGGAGGAGGAGGGGGAGGAGGAGGCGGAGGGGGAGGAGAAGGAGGAGGAGGGGGAGGAGGAGGAGGAGAAGGAGGAGGAGAAGGAGGGTTGTCCTGCAGTGAGCGGTCCTGCAGTGAGCGTGCGGGCCGACCCTGCGATGCCCTGCATTGAGTCTGCCCCCCCCGCCCGCCGATGCTGAAGAGAGGGCTGCAATGGCCTTTACACTTCGGTCGGGCATGTCCTCCTAAAGGCGGAAGGTGAAAGAACAGTAACAACATACTCAAACCATCGAGCATGATAGCATGATCAACAACAGCGGAACAGCAACACGAAACATCGTCACCCGTCTATGTTTACTCTTCTGGAATATCCCGCCTGTAGAAGGACATGCCCGACTGAATCCTACATGCCCTGCAGCGGCCCTGCGCTGCAAGGCCGCTGCATGCCTCCCCCCCCCCTGGGGCTCCCGCCCGCCCCCCCCCCCCCCCTGCATTGCCACCCGCTCTCCTGGGGCGGCTCTGGTGGTGATGCGCGGAACGCCAGATGTCTTCCTCGCTTCGCTTCGCTCCGCGCGCTGCGCAGCGGCCATATGGAGGCAGCACGTGCGGGCCTTGCCCGAGCTGCCAATCGATCTGGGCCAGCTCGGCGTCACCACTGTCAAAGATCCTCACGACCCGTGTCGGCGCCAGTTTGTGCTTTGCCACCGAGGCCCTTCAACACGAGGCAGGCGGCGCAGCGACGGCTGCCACAGGCTGCGCGCTGCTGGCGCAGCCGAGCGGGGTAAACACACGCTCGGACTGGCACACGTCCTGAGGATCACCGACGCTGGGAGTCCGCATCGCCCGTGCCCACTGACAATCCCTGAGCCCCAGCGGTTGACCTTTACTGATGGTACTCGTCTGGCTGGTGGGATCCACACGCGGCTGTCTCTGCAGTGGGCTCCTGCTTTTTCTTGTGGTGGCGGGACAGGGGCCAGAATCCTGGCTCCCCCAAGCCAGGGCATTGCAAACCAGGACTCTGAACATTCCACCTGGAGAAGACCAAGACTGGAGGAATCGTCGCCCAGGGCAGCAATTTCATCGGGCGCGCCGACGTCATGGTTTGTCAGGCAGTCCCCGTCTATAGGGGGGCAGGGCGAGCGCAACCACTGGAGGAACGACCCAATCGTCGGCGTGATCAGCGCGTGGTCTTGATAACCGTGCTGCCCAAGGTTGCCCTCCTCGGCTGCGCTGCTGCCTTCGCGAAACAAATCATCTGCGATAAAACAAAAAAACAAAGTACGACAGTTTTCATATATATATATATATACACACTTACACACTTCAGCGAAGCACCCTCATGGCAGCAACAGGTGAAGAGGCGGGCCGAGGAGTAGGAGGTCGGCGGGTGATAACGTGTATTCCTAAGCGTTCCTAGGGATCCCTCTGAACGCCGACGAGAGGACCGGCGGCAGCGCTGAGAGCACGGCCGTGCGCTCTGTAATGACATGTTGGAGCAAGGGTCGTGGCCGCCTGAAGCCACACATGGTGGCGACATTGAGACGAGAGCACGACTCGTGCACACATTGGACGGACGTGTCAGGCAGACGGCTGCCAGACTTGGCTGTCTATAGGGCTCCCCGCCCGCACGGGGGTACTCCTCTGTGGCCCTCTTCCTCCGCGATTCATCCCCGGGACCCTCGAGCCAAAAGCTATTGGGGAACCGTCTCCTCGGTGGGCGCTCTCCCGATGCCCGAGTCCACACCCTCGTGCCCAGAGCCCCCCCCAGATGGAGTCCGAGTAGCTGGGGTCGGAGGATCAAACAGGCCCATCACCATCCTCCCCGACGTGCCCGCAGACCTCGGCGGGCAGCGGCAGCGCCAGCGGCGTCAGCCACTTCGGGTGCCGCTGCCGCAGGGCCACGGGCGTCTTCGCCACCGCGCCGCTGCGCGCCTCTTGTAACGGCCGGCGCGCCGCGGGGGGTAGGGGGGGGGGAGGCTGCTTAGAAGGAGGCCGTGCTTCTTGGAAAGCGCCGGCCCTGCATCTTCAGCCGAGGCCCGCGCCTCCTGAGATCTAAGGAGCAGGGCTGCCTCTGAGCAGCCTGCCCCCCTCCCCCTTGCCCCTCCGCTGCGCGTGGCGGGGCCTTCTCCGCCCACGGCGCGCCGACGCGCCCCACGGCGACCAGGCAGTAGGGGTCCGGGTTGCCCACGCGAGGATGCCGCAGGTCGGCGGCCGCGATCGCATCGATGCTGATCCTTGCGCGGCGGGTCCCCACCCCCGGAGCCCGAGGCGGAAGACGTCTGGGGAGCACCAGCACGCTCTGGGGATCGTGGCCGTGGCATGCGCAGTCGTCAATCGTCGAAGAGGCACGGAGCCGGATCCACAGGGAGAGCAGCGCCGCACACACCTTGTGGGCGTGGCCGCGGTGAGCAGGGTGTACGAGCGGGGCTGGGGCCATTTCCTTTGAATCGAGCTTACTACCTACCAGACCACCCCAACCTAAGCCGAAGACCCATTTTTCGGGTTGGGGGAGGGTGCGGGTTCCACATGTGTTTGTTCAGTGTTCCCCCACCCCACCCCACTGGAAATCGAAGATAAGTTTGGGCCTTCGGGTTGGGTTGGGGTGGTTTTGTGGGTGGTGGCGAGCAACACCAACCCGCCTGGTGGAGGATCAAATTTCGCATGTCCGCGCTGACGTTTTGGATCGGCATAAGAAGAACCTCCCTGGCGCGCGCAGCGCTCCAGGGGCGACGCCAGGAAATGAAGGTGCAACCCCGATGCAAGAGATCCGCGTGAACATCTTAACATTCATGCTCACGGAATGCTTTTATGTGAATCCTGGCGGTGCCAAACGTTCCCGCGGAGGGCTCACCGACGCGCAGCTTCTCGTGCTTCTTCAGCAGCATCTTGTCGTGGGCGGCGCTCGAAGCGCTCGAGATCGACGCGCCGATCAACTTGCCGAACATCTTCAGCCTGTCCGTCCTGGACACCTCTTCGCCAGACTTGACCTGGGACGCACAGAGACATACTAATACTAAATGTTTTCCTTGGAGGCGCGCGTCCGACCCGAACACGTCGTATACCCATCTTATAGTACATCATTTCCCGAGCGGTGTGGCCGGAAAGCGCCCATCACGACGCATATACTATAAGATTTCTCGGTGCGCGCGTCGCTCCTGGGAGGGCGACACACAGATAGTATACTAGAACCATCGCGCGCGCGCTTCACGCGCGCTCAAGTTCTAGCTAGCTTCTTGGGGCCTCCTCGGAGCATCCTGGACTGCTTCTTGAAGTCGTCATTGGACCTTCTTGGCATGTCTTCGGTGGCCACTTAGAAAGAGTTTTGAAGCCTTTTGGGTGCCGTCTTGGGGCCTCTTGGAGCCTCTTTTGGGCTTCTTGGGCGCCTCTTGGGGCCTCTTGGGGGCCTCTTGGGGCCTCTTGGGGGCTTCCTGGGGGCATCTTGGGTGGGGCCTTTGGGGGGCGTCTTGGGGCGGATAGCTTGATTTTTCAGTTCGCGTTCCCTCTCTTAGGCCCCTCTCGGGGCCTTCTTGGGACCCTCTTGCGCCGTCTTGGGTGGCTCTGGGGCCGTCTCGAGGCTCTGGGGCCGTCTCGAGGCTCTCTTAGGCCGTCTTGGGGCCTTCTTGGGGGCCTCTTGGGCCGTCTTGGAGCGGTTTGGGCAGCCTCTTGGGCGGTGCTTCAGTGCTGGAAACACGAAACAGCGAGAATGCATTCAACAAAATAATCACCGGCGTTGC